CCCGCTTGACAACTCACTGACAGTGCTGGATTTATGCACCAATTTACCAGCTCGCGCGTGCAATGCGCAGCTACTTACCCCCCAATCATCGGTGAACGAAACTGTGGCAGCTACAACCAGTGTACGACCAGTACGCGGTTATTACACCTGATAATGATGATGATGATGACGTATATCCCATCCTTTTATCAAATCATATTGTCTACTTCTTGTTTTATGCCGCCGTGAATTGGACATTGAAAGTCGCGTTCTTCCTGCCAAACTATAATTCGGTTGCAACGCTGGAGACAGTTCTCCAGGGAAGTACTTTTGGCTTCGACAAAAACCCTTTCACTCGTTATTTCACGATTACGTACAATCCCAGCAAGTCAGAAAATTGCAATGTCCAAGACCCTTAATCTTCAGCGATCGGAATCTCGCAGCTACACAATAAAGTCCGCATTGTAAGGATGCGAATTTGCAAAAAATCAGAGTGCACGCCAAAAACTAGATGATCCCGGTCAGCTCTTTATGAAACACCCGCAATTCATCTCCTTCAAAAGTCAAAGTAATGAAAGCGAGGCTAGAGCGTGAATCCGACTTCTTCATCTCGATTTCTCCTGTCTATGTTTGGACCACTTGGCAGTGTCCCAGCCTTCGTCCTTACTTCGGATGGCACGGCAGCTAGACACCGAAAGGGTGTTACGGCTGAACAATCACCTTGATTTTAGTTACTATCAGTCACAACAGTTACTGTTCGCTGAGATATAAAGCCCGGGGTTTCAGAGGCTTTTCAGATTCAAACTTAGCACAACCTAAATGGCGAAAGTAGGTGGAACTGTGTCCTTGCTGAGAACCGGTCAGAGGACTCAAACGTGCTCTTAGGGTCAAACAACGCCAGGAGCATAGGGCGCCTGTACAAACATCCTGATCACTATGTAACCAAATGAGCACGGAAAATTAAAACTAACAAGGGACATTGTAACTGCCTTATCATCGACAGTTTAACATCAGTGTTCAGCACTGAGGCTTCGTTGCCATACAACCATGATTCACTTGAAAGCCTCATTGTGAAGAAATGAATAAAGACGGACAGGGAAGGGACATTGTGTTACAATACGGCAACCATTCCGAGGTGTCTACACCCCTGGGCACTCATTCGGGCAATGCAGACAAAAACTGACAACACCACTAACGTCCACTAGTAGCTGCATCTTATTTTATTTAACGAGGCGCAGTGGAGACCACGCAGTCTCCATCCTAGAATTCGAGTTGCATCAACAACACCTGGGCCTCCTGTAATTTCTTTTGTACCCCACTGTCAAATCAAAGGCTAACCACCTCCATTTTCTGCCACCCTGAGTTGGGCAAGCAAAACAACACTCCCTAAGGCAAATGATGATTCGGCGCACGCCGTACATTGCTTCACCAACGCAGCTTCTGGTGCTAAACACATTTCCCGTGAAAGCTTCCGACGCTAAACAGAACACTCGCTTCCAAACGGCCTCGTCGCCGATTCCCCCGCAGCAACCTACACGACAAACGGTTCTGAGATAACGGTTGACGAACACATGAAGGCCTGCACGTGAAGGCCACAACTCACAGCCACAGAAAACAAATCATCTGCAGTACAAAGCCGCCAGGTGATCGGAAAATTTTTTCGAGACCAGACTCTACATGAGGGAGAGCAATTTGACAACCCAAAATAACCTAATTAAATACTGGCTTACGTTTTATATAGATAGATGGTGTGGAGATGAATTGA